AGCTTGCTTCTCCCTCTCCCACTCCCCCTGCTTGTGTTCCTTCTCTCGCTGTGTCTCTCTCTGTCAAATAAATAAATAAAATCTTTAAAAAAATAAAAAAAGAAATAAAAAGAAAATTGACAAAATCAGGGACGCCTGGCTGCCTCAGTCAGTAGAGCATGTGACACTTGATCTCAGGGTTGTGAGTTTGAGCCCCACATTGGGCACAGATCCTACTTAAAATAAAATAATTTTTAAAAATAAATAAAGTTCTAAAAATAATAATAAAGTTCTAACCCTAAAAAAAAGAAAACTGACAAAATCAAAAGTTTTTTATAAAATTGATAAACCCCAAATTAGATTGATCAAGAAAAAGAACATAAATTAGCACTATTAAGGATAATAAGAAGACATCACTACAGATCCTACAGACCTTAAAAGTATGATCTTGTGAACATTATACCAATAAATTTGAAGTTTAGATTAAATGGACAAATTCCTTCAAAGACACAAATTACCAAAACTGATTCAAGTAAAATATTAGAAAACAAAAATAGCATTGTATCTATTAAATAAATTGAATTCTAAATTAAGAAGCAACCCAGAGAGAACTTCAGGTCAGCTGGTTCATTGGTGAATTCAATAAAACATTTAAGAAATAAATAATAACCCTCACAAACTCTTTCAGAAAGGAGAAGAAAGAAAACTGTCAATTTATTTTTAAGACCAACATAACCATAATTCCAAAACCATGACGATATTAAAGAATACTGCAGACCAAGAGTCCCCATGAATGCATAGAAAATTTTAAACAAAGTATTATCAAGTCAAATATAGCAATATATAGATAACATCTATGTATTATGTAAAAAAACTTTTACATGCTGCCATAAATAAAATCATCTACTTAAAAAAAATATATAGCAATATATAAAAATAATACAGGATAATCAAGTGGGATTTATCCAAGGAGAGCAAGGTTGGTTTACTATTTAAAAAAGTAATCAATGTAATTCACCGTATTAACAGAATAAAGGAGAAAAACCATATGATCCTATCAATAGATGCAGAAAAAGAAGCTGATATAAAAATTTTTTAGAAAACTAATATAGATAGGAATGCCCTCAATCTGATAAAGGAATCTAGAAAAAAAATACAGCTAACCTCAAAATTAATTCTGAAATATTTCATGTTTCCAACCCAAGGCTGGGAACAGTGCAGGGATATCCACTATCTTTTTATTCAAAAGTTCACTGGAGGTGTCAGCTAACAGTAAATCAAGAAAAAAACATAAAAGGCCTACAGACTGAAGAAAAAAGAAGTAAAACTGTTGCTAATTCACAAATACCAAGATTGTCCACTTAAAATATTCTAAAAACTATACAAAACAAAAATGTGAATTTAACAAAGCTAGAGGGTAGTAACTCAATATATAAGACTCAATTGTATTTTTATACTAGCCACAATCAGAAAATTTAAAAACAATTCCATTTACAATAAAATTGAAAAACATAAAATATTTAGGATTAAATTTAGCAAAAGATATTTAAGATTCCTATTTTAAAAACAACAAAATGTTAATCAGAGATACTAAAGAAGATATAAATATTAGAGAAATACCACATTCATGGATTAGAAGACTCAGTATTCTTAAAACATTAATTCTCCCCAAACTGAACTACAGATTCACTGCAATTCTAATCAAAACCCAATAATCTGATTTATAGAAATGGATAATATTAAAATTTATATGGAAAAGCAATAAACTTAAAAGAGTCAAGACAATCTTGAAAAAGAATTAAATTGGAGGGCTGATACAACCTGATTAATAAGACCTATACCACAAAGCTACAAAAATCAACATAGGATGGTACTGGTGTCCGAACACCATATAGACACAAAGACCAAGAGAACAGAATAGAGCCCACAAATAAACCCACATATATAAGGTAAACTGCTCTGACAAAGGTACCAAAGGCCACTCATTGGGAGAAAAAAGTTTTATCAAAAAGTGATACTAGAATAACTTAATGATGTATGGGGAAAAAAGATGATCCTGGATCCCCATCTCATACCTCTCACAAAAATAAGTTCAAGGCAGATCCTAGACCTAAATGTAAAAACCAGAACTATAAAATTTCCAGAAGAAAACATAAGAGAATTCTTTTTTTTTTTTAAGATTTTATTTATTTATTTGAGAGAGAGAGTGAGACAGAGAAAGAGCACAAGAGGGGGGAGCGGGAGAGGGAGAAACAGACTCCCTGCGGAGCAGGTAGCCCGATGTGGGACTCGACCCCGGGACTCCAGGATCATGACCTGAGCCAAAGGCAGTCGCTTAACCAACTCAGCCACCCAGGCGCCCCATAAGAGAATTCTTCATAAACCCTGAGGAAGGCAGAGGTTTCTAGAAAAGACACAAAACATTAAACACAAAATAAAAACAAATGACAAATTGAATTCAACCAAAATTTAAAACTTCTTTACACTAAAAGACACCACCAAAAAAATATAAAGCAAAGCTGCTAGGAAAAGTCTTGATAATCTATTTGTCTGTCTGCTTAGCTAGCTGGCTATCTGGCAAAGGGTTAGTACTTTGAATATATAAAGAACTCTTACAAATCAATAATAAAAAGATCCAATGGGAAAAAAATTTTAATAGGCAAAATAATTTGACACTCCTCAAGTGAAGAAACGCAAATTAAGCCCACAATAAGATACCATTTCATATTCAATAAATACCTAAAATTAAAGGACCACCAACACCAAATACTAGCAAGGATATAAAGCAACTGAAACATTCCCAGTAGGAGTATAAAATGGTACAGCTATTTTGGGAAAAGGTCTGGCAGTTTTTCATACATTTAAACATACATCTACCCCACCATGACCCTGAACTTTCACAAAAATGCTTATTTAAGAATACTGATAGCATCTTTATTCATAACAGGTAAAAACTGCAAACAACCCAAAAAATACCCACCAACAAAAGGCTACATAAACAAATTGTAGTATATTCATTCAGTGGAACAATATTCATTCAACTACATGGATGAATTTAAAAAATAGTACATTAAGTGAAAAAAAAGCCACTCATAAAAAAGAACATACTGTATGATTTCATTTCAAAAACACACAGCATCAATCTATGGAGACTGAAATCGGGAACTGTGGTGTCTACAAGGTATTGACTAGAAGGACACCCGAGAAAACTCCATGGGTAATAAAAATGTTTGGGGAAGGGGGTGCATATTATTACACAGAGTATATATTTACTAAAACTCAAATTGTATTATGTGATATCTGTGCATTTAATGGTATGTAAATTTTACTTCAATAATTTTTTAAAAGGTACACTGATTCTAATGTTTCCCTTGTGCTCAGAAATACAATCTGTCAAGATGCATCACAAAGCTAAAACAGATCATTTCTTATAAGAAAGTATACATTCCCTACTTGGTATAGTCCCTCAAAGCCGAAGCCTGATTGCTCTTGGGTGATATGTAGAAATACTCCTCCATTTGTTACTTTTACATTAATTTATTCAAATCAGTGAACAACTCAAAACAATTGCTTTAACCCAGGGAAATGAGTACCATATTTCGGTTGAAAAGAGACCAGATGACCCAAATTTTCAGTCCTTTCTAGTGAAGGTAAATTTAACCATATTATGATGGCTTCATTTTTCATTCATTCATATTAACATCTGAGTTTACAGAACCAACATAAACATTTAATAGATCTTTAAGCCCTGCAATAGCAAAATTGAAACCATAAGATTTTAATAGTTTATAATCCTCTCTCTTAAAGTAGTTTAGCTTACATTTCTTTCTCCATTTCAAGCTGTTTACTCAATTCTGCGGCTCTGAGCTCTAAATCTGTATTCAGCTGTCTTTGCAGTTGTAGATCCTGCAAAGCTTGTTCCTTGCTTCCTTTAACTTCAAGAGTATCGGCTTCTAGTTTCTATGGAAGAAATATAATACAGTAACAATTTTAATGTCAATAATTATCCATCTATTATTAAATATAACATTTTTTTGTTTATACTCAAATTGGTGTTGACATAACACACAATAATAACCATAAAATATTTATGTTATAATAAAAAATGCATTTTCCATCTGAAGCCATTGCTGAGTAAAGGAACGATTTATCTTGGAATCTTTCAGAGGACCTACCAGCAGGCTGTAGATGTGACAGGCAGTCACTAAGTTTCTACTTTTAAAAATTAGCTCTAAAAAAGAGAATAAACTTAAAATAATTATATCTATTACTTGAATAAAAGTTTTAACTCAAGTATGAAAAGACAAGGTTAACAGGTTCACATGTGGGCCCACTTAAAATATATTATCCTTTATATTCAGTGAACAACACTCATGTAATTATAAATATTTGAAACTAAAATGGAGTTATCATGTCATCCTTCTCATTAACATTTACTGACCCTAAATATAAAGTCAGTTAAATTCCTGGTTTTGCATCTTTAAATTCTTGGTTTAGAGACTGCTACTCTTCATAGCATAGTTTCTGTCTCATACACATACATATCATACATACAATTGTGTGTACTTTTACAAATTTACAAAATCAAGCTGTTAAGTGTAAAGTTTAAGTGTCAATGAGCAATGCATTTTCTTATATAGTTGTAATAATTTTGTACCCTAAATATTTTATAAACCAATCTAGGTAATGTGGCTCTTATTCAACACTTATACTGGATATTTAATGTAACTGTAAAAATAACTATATAAAACACATGGAATACTTCCTAAAATAATTACCAAATGTTAAAGATCTGATAATCACAAGAGACACTACTGGTTCTAAATAACTATTTGTAAAAGATACCCAAAGAGAATTCTCATTAGACGCTTTTCAGCAAAATGGTCTCTCTGTTCTTTTCAAACATTACAAAAAGTAATTTGTCATTATTATCATCACCGGCCATAATGAAAAGAAAAAGAACCCATAAACAGAACTGTAAACATACAACATTCTTCCATGTTGTATCAGGGTCGATATACACATATACACATACAGATCCAATAGTTCTACAGAAGTGTTTCATCTGATTGTGAAGGTATAGCTTACATAAATAGTAATTTGAGAAATATTTGTTTAATTGATAGTAGATCCCATTTAAAGGACAAAGGACTCAGGTCAAATCCTCTTCCGATAGGTCTAGTCATTTAATCTCTTTAGAAAATCAACAGTTTCACTTGGAACTGTGTTAAAGTAAGAAACAATTTACCACAGTATATACTTACTATTAAACTAAAAACAAAATCCAAAGGGTATAAATGTAAAGTTTAAAGAAAGAAAAAGTCTGTCATATGTGAAATATATATTGGAAAAAGGGAGTAAGGAAATGGGAATGATGGAACAGAAAAGGCTTCATAACAACAACAACAACAAAAGGATAAGTTCCTTATAATTACAGAGTAGATCCCTGGTTGGTTGTTTCTTTGAAATAGTTACATATTACAAAGGAACCAGTATACATGTTAAAACTGCCATTTGTAAAAGCCACTTTAACATTAATGAAGAAATTAAAATTAAAGATGGAATTCAAAATTAAGACCTGAAAAACTACATGTAATTTAAAGTTTTACATGACAACTTCACCCTTGTTTGCAAATTTAAAATCTTCAATTCCTTCTACGTTATCAGTTTCCATTACTACAGCAGCAGAAAATATAGGTAAATTCAGTATCTTTTATACAAACCTTAATCTGACCTTCTAATTCTTCAGTTTTTTGTTCTAAAGAGAGGTGCTTCTCTTTATATTCTTTAAGATGACTTTCCAGCTGACTGCAATGTTCTTGCTTATCCTGCAACTTTGTAGTGACCTGATCCAACTGAGTAGTGATCTTATTTAACTCCTACAGAAAAGTACAATTGAAGAAAACTTTGGTAAGATTTACTTTATTGTATGCCCAAATGTTTCATCAAAGTAAAATTGAAAATTCTAATTTTATTTAAGAAACTATTGGAGTAAGACTAGAAAGAAGTCTAATGATGAATCAGAGGTTATATTTACCAGTATAAAGGATCTGAACTGAAACTGTACACAGCATGAAATACTAAGTTTATATGCATAACCACTCAATAACTTTTCCTAGGAAGAGTTATTTTAGGAGCCAAAAGATACAACCAAATATTAAATAGGCTAATAGTAAAATAATACTTTTATATTATAATTGTTTTCAATGTTCAAGATGCCATTTCAAAAAATAACATTTAAAAACAGTGACCACATCTATGAAACTTGTTCATTTGTAGTATCTAGAGGCACTGAAAGAATAAAATACAAATTACTAGTAAATCCACCACCCACAAATAATCACTATTAATGTTTTGGTAACTTTCCTTTTAGTCTTTTCTGTATGTATTTTGATTTATACTTTTAGAATAGGAAGAGAATCTCACTTTACATACTATTTTATTATAACCTTTCCTTTAACGTAACAATGCATCATGAAATTGTGACATATTTTCTAAAATACCATTATATTTGCATAAATTTCCATTTTATGTGATCCAGACCATTTTTTAGCCAAATGTCCTATTTTAGATTCTTAGATTGCTACTAAACTTTTTGCATTTTATTAACAGAAATGTAAACAGCATCCTAAAAACTATGATTATTCCCTTAGGATAAAGAACTAAAAGTGAGGGCGCCTGGGTGGCTCAGTTGGTTAAGCATCTGCCTTCAGCTCAGGTCATGATCCCAGGGTTCAAGCCCCGCATCGGGCTCCCTGCTCAGCGGGAAGCCTACTTCTCCCTCTCCTGCTCCCCCTGCTTGTGTTCCCTCTCACTGTCTCTCTGTCAAATAAATAAAATCTTGAAAAAAAAAAAAAAAGAACTAAAAGTGAGCTAAAGAATGAAAAATCCTAAAGTTCTTGAAATATATTGCCAAACAGCTTTCCCTACCACCATTAAAAGGTTGAACTAACATATACAACCACCAGCAATGTATGAAGGTGGCTTATTCTTCTACACCATCTCCAAACCTTCCAGTGTTAAACACACACATCTTACCTCAATAAGGGCATATTCTGTTACTGTCTTAATTTACAATTGATTCTTAATGAACCTGAACATTTGTTAACATATTTTTTATCATTTACTTTTTTGTAGGGTCCCTTAATTCCTAAGTGTTTTAAATACCAAGGATATTAACCCTTCATCAGACACATTTCAGAAAATGTTTTATTCTTTTGCTATGTGCTTTCAAATTTTGTTAGTGATATATCTGGCAAAAAAATTTTAAACTTTCATGTGATTATTCTTATAAATACTCTTTCCATTACAGTTTCTAGCACTGATCTCGTGCTCAGAAAGTACTTTACAGATATATTTAGCAAAAATGTGAGTAAAAAGTTGCAGAACATACATACACAGTGATTCTATGTGCATAAAAGAAAAATACCAGTATGTGTGTGTGTTGTGTGTGTGTATTTATATACACATATCTATCTGTTCAATGCTTACAGAACTCTAAAAGGATATATACCAAATTTAACATTCCATCTAAGGAGGAAAATGGGATTAAAGTTAAGGGTAAATATAGAAAACAGTTTTGTTAACTTGATATATTACTATATCGCTAAAAAAAAAATAGACCAACAACCAGTGTAACCTCTCAAATAAAAAGTAAATTTTAAAAATTTCTGTCTAGTTAAAGGAAGAAAAATCTATCAGCATTTTTACCTTGGCCCTAAAATAGTAAGCTTTTATTCTATCAGAAGTATTGAGAAAAGTAACTTCTGCATTCCCTACAACTCTACTTATTCTTACCCCCAAGATAAAAGAGTAACTCTTACTGCAATGTGTGTGTTTTCCTGCTTCCAAGTGGTAAGTATATCCAGGTCATGGCCCACATTACCTACTTAAAACAGGTGTGAAAGTCTGTCTCTCATTCCCAATCACTGGCACTTGATGGAATGAAGCAACCATTCAACAATTAGGAGTAGATATTTCGGCTCCACACCATGGTCTACACTAAAGAGTGATAAAATATTAAGAAGCCCAACCACAGCTGCACACCAGTTGAGCTTTATCAAAAACAAAAATGACATTTTTATCTTCATCTGTCTGACTCTTGCATCCACCACTCAACTGGTTCTGAACTCAGAGAGAAATCAAAGGGAACAAGCAAGTTGATCACGACATTAATAAAACTGAGTATCATTTTTATACATGTTTGCAATTAATGCATCTACCAAAACATTAGGTTATCAAATGAAACTGCATCACATTCACATACCTGCTGTTTATCTTGTAATGCATTTTGGGCTGTGTCCAAATGATTCTGAAGATCTGCTCTCTGAGCAGTTTTTGCTGCTTCTGCCGATAGCAGTAATTCAGTTTTGGCTTTAATCTGTAACAAAATTGACCAGTCATTTAATTCGTATTTAGTTCTTGATTTCCCCTTGCTTGAACATACACTGCTTTTGCCACTAAATTATTTTAAAAATTTAGTCCTTCAGCAAAAAACACAAGGATTTAGACACTGAAAATTAAGTATGTGATTATCCCCCAAACAGGAACATGTAGGAGAAAAGACTCCTAATAAATATTTGGATAAATGATGAAGTTTATCATGATATATATGATGATATATATGCCCCTACGTGACACCAAAATACTTCTCCCTCTCTCAAATTGGACATCCAAATATTGGGTTATCATATAACTCATCTAACAAAATTTATACAAAATTACAAAACAAAAATTTTATTTTAAACAGGAAGAAATGTGTATCCTCTTCCTCCAAATTAATAAGTATCCCTGTTATATTAGTCTATATTTCTTATTTTCAATTGAATTATTTTCCTAAAATAAAGAAAATCAAGGTTTAGAAATGTTTCTATGACTTTCTCTACTATAGTATAGGATAAGAAACCAACAATGAGAATGGAAAAAGAAATGTTTTAATTCCCATCCCATCGATTCACTGAACAAGGCTTCTATATTGGCTCTGAAATAATGTATATTAAAAATATATAATGCTACATATATAAATGTGTTTTTTAAATCAAACCTTTAAAGTAAAATCTAAAAATCAAAGTCAGAAAGTATTTAACATAGAAATCTAATGGTATAATATCAAATGACTTTGAACTTCAAAAACAACAATAAGGATTTCATGGAAAAAAGGAAAAGCAAAAAAAAATCTGATGGTTTCAGAAGGTATAGTTTGACAGAAGAGATAAAGGAAAAAAAAGGGAAACATGAAAGCTCAACAAACTGTCTAGATACAACCTTTATATAATTGCTATTCCCAATGTTTTTCCATTAATAAATAAGGCAGAGAGAGGGAGAGAGTGGTGGGGGCTAGAGGGAGACAGAAAGAGAAACACAAGGAGAGAGAAACAGAATTTACAACATTTGATGGTTTAAAATAGGTGCTTTATTCAGACAAACTCACATTAAATTGCATAATTCAATATTACCTGTATGTCAAGCTGGGAGACCTTCTCCTTGCTCTCATTTAATTGACTAGTCAATTCATTGACACTAGTTTCTAAGGAAAGAACACGGTCTTGTGCAGCTCTAAGATGTGCCTTCTGCTCTTGCACTTGGTCATGCAAATTCTCCTGGGCTTGTTTATGGCTTTCTGACTGATTCTTCAGCTTCTCTGTTAGTTGAGTTACCTATCGTACAAGCAAGACTCTAATTATGAAGATCACAAATGATATAATAAGAACTAAAACAAACAAGCAAGCAAATTTAAGGCCCATGAGAATATTAAAGTGCTCTACGATAGCTTATCTCCCTATTTTTTTCAAGAAAATTTATTCACATCTTTCCAAAAATAAGCTCTCTCTCAAAACTATAAGAAAACAACAATAAATTCAGATTCCCATTATTTTTAAAACCATCTCTACTGAGCTATAATTTACATGAAATAAAATTCACCCAATTTAGTTGCACAGCTTGAGATGATAAATACATACACTCATTTAACCACTGCCACAATCAGATGGAGAACATTTCAATTACCCCAAAAGGTTTACTCATGCCCCTTAGCAGTCAGTACCCTCCACTCATCTCTAACCCCAGACAATCACTGATCTAAATAATAAGAGTTCCTTATATATTCTGAATATTTCTGAATTGTCAGATATATGTATTACAAATATTTTCTCCCAGTCTGTGCCTTGGCTTTTATTTTTGTAATGGTATCTTTTGAAAAGCAAACATTTTTAATTTAGATGAAATCCAATTCATCTGATGTTTCTTTGGTGTACCTTGCTTAGAGTTCACTGAGTTTCTTGAATATATGGGTTCATATTTTTAACCAAGCTGAAATTTTTTTCAGCCATTATTTCAATAAATATTTTTCTCCTCCTCACCCTCTGTCACGTCAATTACATGTATGCTAGATTACATGATACTGTCCCACAGTCACTAAAGCAGAGTTTTTTGGTTTTTGGTTTTTTGAGGGTTTTTTTTTAGCCCAACTTTTTTTCTGTGTTTTATTTTGGACAGTTTCAACTGCCTTGTCTTAATGTTTATACTGCTTTCTACTTGGTTAATTTTTAATTTATTAAGCCCATCCAATGAAATTTTAATTTTATATATATATATGGAATTATATATATGAAGTTCTATTTAATTCTTTTTTTATCATTTCCACTTCTATTTCCATTATTATAGTTTTTCCTTTATAGTAATAGGCATATTTTAAGAGCCATACATGTTTTCTTCTTTGAATGTCTAGTAATTTTTTTATATTTATGTTAACAAGTTTTGATTTTGTTGTCTTCTTTCAAAAATGTTTAATTTTGTTCCAGCAGGCAATTAATATACATGTGGTTCAGCTGGATCCTTTTGAGGTTTGTTTTATGCTTTGTTAGGTCAGGTGTACACTAGCTTTTACCCTAGGGCTAGTTTAGCTTTATCCTAAGGTGTAACATTCCCGGGGTTTCTACTAAATGTTCCCAAAGTGTTCAACCACATCTGTATTCTCTTCCTAGATTTGAACATCTCCCAGCCCTGATCATTTTTCAGTTTGTAGCTTCCTAATGATTGTTCATTGCCTGGCCTCATGAAATCCCACCATATGAATGCAAAGTTTAGCAGTCAGCTAAAGGCTCAAGTGGATCCCTTATGCAGATTTCTGGGGCTGCTTCTCTCCATTGTTCCCTCCTCTCTGATACTCTGCCCTACGAATGTCAGGTGCCTCAACCTTTCTGAACTTCAATATCTCACTCCTTAGTTCAGTGAGACCACTGTGCTTTCCTTGGATTCCGCCAACTGCACCTCAGTCTGGAAAATGTTTCCGGGGCAAAAGCTGGAATGGTCAAAAGGTTCACTTCCCTTGCTTCTCTTCTCTCAGGAGTCAAAGCCCTGCACTGATTATTGTACAATATCTGAACACAGTGGTTTTACACATTATTTTTCTACTGTTCTAATCATTTATGATGAAAGGACTAAATAGGTTACTCCAACATGGCAGGAAGCACAAGTACATAGATTTATTTTTATTTATTCTTTTAAAAAGAATTAGAAAAATGGCATTACCTACTGATACTTTGTTTTACTATTTTCTCATTTAGATAATTATAACTCTCTTATTGGACAATTCTTCCAAAAAAGCAACTATAAATTCTATATAAGCAACTTATCAAAATTATTATTAGCTCCATATTCCAAAGACATATCAGGACCAAAATATAATTTACTAGTAAGCCCACATATTAACCAATACATAGTAACAACTAACACTTGATTAGTACTTTCAGTTTATAAATTTATGTTGTTATTCATTCTTTTTTCAAAATATCACAAAATGCCATGAAGCAAGAATGCATTATTAATAACATCTCTACTTTTCTAATGAGCTGACAAGGTAAATTTATTTGCTTGTGGTCACACAGGTAATAAGTTATGTGCTGGGACACGAATTGAGATTTTCTTTGTCAAATTATGCTAACTTACTTTTACTACAATAGCAACCTATCTCTAAGGTAAATGAGATGGTATTTGTCAAAAAAACATAATATTTAAAAAGTGCTAAAAAGAACCAGAATGAAGAGTCATTTAAATAAAGCACTTAGTAAGATTTAGAAAGCTAAAAGTCAGTTTTAAAAATAGAATAAATCTGACAAGCTTACTTGCTCCTGTAAGGTATGGTTTTTTTCTTGTAACTGGTTAAGAACAGCAGTCTCTCCTTCACCAGCCTGAATTTTTGCATAAAGATCTTCTCTTTCTTTTTCTAGTAAGGAAATATTTTCTTTACTCTTCTGTAATAAGGCTTCAAGGTTCTGGATCTTCTGGTCCTTATCACCAATTTGACGTAGTACTTGTTCTAAATCATTCTGTAAAGAAGTGAAAACTACTACCTTAAGGATAGAGAACTTAAAAAGTTATTCCTTAAACATAATTGATAATACATTTTGCAACTCAAACAGTCTTACATCTTTTAGTTACTCATTACATTTTAACATGGTAAACTTAATTAGAACTATATATTTAGTAATATAAATCTGTATTATTGATAATAAACTAGAATTTAAAAAAAAAAAAAACCTTCAATTAACCACATTCTTATTCTAACACTCGGGCCTCACTGCCCACTACTCTTCTTGTTTAATCCATTGCAGATTCGTGGGACTCTCCTTACTCCTTATCACACCAGGCACACTCCCAATGCAGGGCCTTTGCACTGTTTCTTCTGTCTAGAATACCTTTCCCACAAAGTCACATGGCTCATCCCCTCTCCTTCAAATGTTTGTTCAAATGTCACCTACTCAATCAGGCCTACCCTGACCATTACATTTAAAATTGCAACCTTTCGGGGCACCTGAGTGGCTCAGTCAGTTGAGCATCCGACTCTTGATTTTGGCTCAGGCCATGATCTCAGGGTCATGAGACTGAGCCCTGCATTGGGATCTGCGCTCAGCAGGGAGTCTGCTTCTCTCCCTCACCCTATGCCCCTCCCCCACTCATGTGCACTCTCTGTCTCTAAAATAAATAAATCTTTTAAAAAATTAAAATATAAAATAAAATTGCAGCCTCTCCCAATACTCCTTCTCCTGAAATTTTTTTTCCCTTTCCATAGCACTTATCTTTTAACACACTAAGTGAATTACTTATTTTTCATGTTTACCTGTTTCCCTCCACCCCCTCACTAGAATGTATGCTCCTCAAAGGTGAGGATTTTTGTCTGTTTTACTCATTGATGTATCCAAGATACATATGCTCTAAGATATTTGTTGAATGAACAGAAAAATAAAGGATTGCACTCTAACACATGCACACTCATGAAGGCTCACTTCAATACTCCAATAGGACTCTTCTATTGATATATCAAGGGATCCCTCTTCTTTTACTTTACCAAGGGCCTAGTGTTACAGAGCAGGGTCATTAGCCCACATCCAGAACAATGCCCATTAATATTCTGGAGCTATCTAACCCACAGCCTTTGGCTCTGCCTCAGTCATTCTAAGACAGCCAGAGAGAACCTCTCCCTAAAACCAGACCCTAACAAGCCCCTCTGCAAACCTTATAGTACCCCACACTACCTTGCTCAGATCTAGTCAGGAACCACCTGGTACTCTCAACAATTTGCACCAATACTGCACTGTTTGAGATCACTTTCAAACATGTTTCTCATCTCAGTTTCAATCACAAAATAATGAAAGGCAACCTAACCTATCTGCTCTCATTCTCTGCTCCTGCCACTAATGATCCCCCTCTCCACATCCCACTCATCTTCTGGAACCACAGCTCCAGGCCTAAGCTTTTTTCCAGAACAGTCACTCTATTTCCAAGTCAGAAGTGAAATTTGGTTCACCCTTTATAGATGCTGATTACCCCTCAACAGTCTCGGATACATAAGGACCATTCTGCTGGGCAAGCAAGGGAGGTTGACTCCTTTCTGGTTTTTCACCCCATAACTCTCCCCATCATGTAAAAGCTTCATGCTGCTTTGGGGAGTATGTTACTCATTTATTCTAGCCTCTATTCTGTGTTGCTATCATCTGTAAATCCCTACCTCATTCACTGAAGACTTGAGACCTGATTTAGTTTTTCTCTCAATCCCAATTTCTGCCAATTTCCTGGGAAACACAAAATACACAAAGAATTAAGAGCACAGCCTCAACATTCATATCATCTTAATTCCTGGACCCTTACTCATTCTATTCAATCGCTCACATGTAGGATCTTGTAACCACTTGAAATTGTTCCAAATGAAAAATTTCAACTGTCCTACTCTGTGACCACAACTTCCTGACCATCTTCCAATTTCATGACCTCATTTCTGTTCTTCAATGCCAAACAGACACTGACCTCAATTTTCTTCTAGCATATATAGCTTATGCCTCATTTCTCTTCCTGAACCTAATACAGGGATATGAGCTAACCTTAACTATTCTCTCAATGATTCAACATTCTTCAATTCCTTTCACCTTCAAATTCCCAATATAGCCATCCAAAAAAAAAAAAGCCCAATCCTAGATCAATGTTGCAATCTGCTGATTCCACACCTACATTTCTAAGCACTGTGAGAGCAAAATCATAAACCTTCATAGATTGCTGCCACTACAGAGTTCTAAAGTCCAACCTCCATCATATACTCAGAAGCATCTTGTCAACCCTTTCACTTGACTAAGGTGGTTCTTACCTTCAAATATTCACCTCAACAACTACTTAAAAGCTTCAATATTCTCTCCAGATTCTTAACATCTGCCTGCCTTTCATTCAACTATTACCATCTCCAACTTTATCCAAAAAAAGGGAGGAGGGGGGCAAATCTTCTGGGATGATGCACCTTGATTTTCCATCCTCTTATCTATAAAGATAGATAGATAGATCCATATTTACTTCCTTTCCTCAAGCTTCAAAGAATATTCTTCAAGAAAGGATAAGTTCAAGTTTACCACCACCCATTGTATCTGTTACCTCATAGCTTTTCAATACCTTATTACTTCTGTAACCTCTCCTTCAATATCCTCAATTATTCCCTCCTACCAGTCCCTTTGTCCTAGACTATAAATGTGTTCGGGTATCTTTTGTTTTCAAACACATTTCCCAGACCAAGCCCCACTCATCTTTGCCCAGTCTTTATAAAATTCATATTTAAATTTCAAAAGTAATTCAAATTTACTTTTCCAACTCCTCACCTCTCATTTACTCATCAAAACTCAGCCATCTCTATCACTTTATTGAAATTATGTTTAACAAGGTCACTAACTTATTCTTAATATATGAGAATATATACTTATATAATTATAGTTTAATATAATGGGCATTTTTCACTTATCATACTTGGCATCCCTACTACACATCCACATTTGTAGTTGCTGATTACTCCCAACTTTTGACTCTCCCCAATCTTTTGGCTTCCACTCTGCAGGTTCTCCTTAATTACTTTGATCATTCTCTTTCTTGTGGGCTGCTTTTCCTCCATTCATCTATGCCATTAAGTGCTAATGTTTCCCAGAAGTCCTGTGTAATCAGTTATCTGTTCTCCCCACTCCACTGCCTCCCTGGCTGATCACATCTATTCTAATAATTCCATTTACCCCATATATAGTGATGTTTCTCACAGCTAATATATATAGCATGGTCCCCTCCTCTAAGCTTTAAATAAATATATCCTATAGGTGCCTCAACAATGTCCAAAACTGAACTCATCACACTGCCCAATGAAATGGCGATTTGTCTCACGTTCACTCACACAGTTGATGACGCCTCCATTTACCATGTACCCAGTGTTATCAATCTGAAAGTCATTGTCTTTCTCTTCCCTACAACTATTAAGTCCTACTTATTTTACTGCCCAAGTATTACTCATATTTGCCCTATGACATCTTTTAACAATTGCTTGAACTAAGGCATTATTATTTTCATCTAAACTACTGCATATATTAGTCTTTTAACTGAACTCCTGTTTCAGAATATTCTCTCCGAAATCCACCTTTCACAAAACCACAGCAATGACCTATTTAAAAACCAAATCTGGCCATAGGAGTTCTCTCAAGACCTTTAATACCTTTCTATCTTCAAAGATAAATGTCACACAAGACCTTCTATAAACTTACTCATGTCTAATGCTCTGGCCTCTTCTCTAACTGATCTCTAAATTACACTTTAAGCTCCAGCAAAACCTAACAGTTTAGTTCATATCAGCTTCAGTATCCTTGTCCTTTTAATTTCTACTTGGGGTATACTTCTTACTATAATCATCTTCACAAACCCGAAACATCTACATATCCTTTGCAATTCAATTTGTCACTTTTAAGAAGTTTCCAAAGACTGTTCTTTTCCAGACTCTGAGTTAGATAACTGCCCTCTGTGCTACCATAGTAATTTTATATACATATATACACCTAGAATGACACTGATTACACCTCTTTAATTAGTTTTTAGGACTTTTCATGTTTCCATAAGGAGAAACTGCCTGGCCTCTTTGACATCGTTTTCTTATTCTTCCCCAGGTAATGAGAATTTAACTAACTCCAAGTTTAGAATAAGGAACTAAGGCATATTTAACTCACCCCTTGCTCTCCCCTCAGTCTAAGAGACAACCTGCCTATAAGAAGTTGAGAGCCTCATTTCCAGCTTTGTCTGTGACTGGATGAATAAATTTAATTCCAGGGTATACTATAAAAAAGCACATTTGGCTGCAGACCTACGCCAAATTCTTTACCTCAGTCTTACTACTCTATTTCTTTGCTATTCTTTACAGTAGAAGTCCTAGAGTTATCTATATTCATTTTATCAAACTCTCTCTTCCCATTTTTCTCTTGAACCCCTTCCCTTAGGCTTTCATACCTCCTTCTCTATCCAAGTTGCTCTTATCAATGTCATCAATGACCTCCATGTTGCCAAGTCCAATAGGATTTTCAGTCTTCATCTTGTTTGACCTCCATCCTTCTAACTACCCAGGACAAACTTCTTGGTATCATCCTTGACTTCTCTATATCCCACATCAATCTATCAGTAAATGTGTCAGCTTTACCTTTAAAATATACATAGAATCTAACCATTTCTCACTACCTGCACTGTTTCCACTCTGATCCAAGCCATATCATTTCTTATCTGGATCACTGTAGTAGTCTCTTAGCTAATTTCTTTGCCTTTACTCATGTGTCCCTACAGTCTACTCTCAATACAGCAGCCAGAGTAATCCTGTGAAATTATAAGTCAGATCATGTTACTCCTTTGCTCAGAACCCTTCAACGATTTCTCACATCACTCACAGTAAAATCCTTAAAATAATCTATGAGGCCTGACATGTTCTCATTCTCTGTGATCTCTGTGACTCTGTGCCCCTCTTACCCTTCTTATCACTTATACCACTGCAGTCACTGGCTTCCTGATATTTCTTAGACATGCTCCCACTTCAGGGTCTTTTAATGTATTGATGCTCTCTCTGATATCCACATGCCTCACACTCCCATTTCCTTTGAGTCTTTCATCTTCTCAGAGAGGCCTTCCCTGCCAATCCTATCTAACACTGCAGTCCCACCCCCAGCCCCCCAGATCCTTCCTACTCCCTGTTCCTTTTTCATCTCCATAGCACTTGTCACCATCTAACACACTACATATTTTGCCTATTTACCTTGTCTTTTCTTTGTCTCCCTCACTAAACTCCATGAGAGCAGACAGCTTTGTCTATTTCATTTGCTGCCATAGCCACAAAATCACTTCCTTGGCTAAGAGTAGACATTAATACACATTTGTTGACTGGATAAATGAAAAAACAAGTAAATGAGTAGAATATTTTTATCTCTATCCATCTGACTCCCATCCTACTCTCCAAACTCAGAAGGGTAAGAGAGACATATTACTTACAGCCTCGTTTAAATTCCAACATTGTTTCTGTGTGCACATCATTAGACTGCCATTTTCTAGAAGGCAGGCACTGTGTCTTACTCATCTCTTTATTTTCAGTGCTTACCACAGTGCCTGACATATAGCGCTCAATAATATTCAATGAATTAATGAAAGACTGAAGGAATAAATGAATGTCAAAGTCAAATTCATTTCAAATACTTGGGCACCCTCTTCCCCTCGCTGTAACAAAACAAAAATTTTACTTCTTTCAATTTTGTAAGCTAGGCTATAAAATCTGTATATATTTAACCCAATCACTTATATTTTCTATACCTACAATTCTAATGTTCATATGATAGTTCTAAAGCAGGGAAAGACATGACCAAAAATTACTAAGTTCTACTGTAGAAAATACAAAATGTTTTTTATTGGGCTAACTAAATCAGGAAATTTTATTTGCATTTTTTAAGTTTTTCAAACAGGGTACTTTTAAAAATAAGTAATAAAAAATTTATTTTGTATACATAACAAATAAATATATTTTATTTAAATAGGTAAATTTATTTAGTAAAGAAATTTAATAAAATTTAAATATTCTATATAAATAAGTCTATGTATAATAAATCTAGTTATAATCATTTTAAAATAGAAAATTTCAACATAGCAATTAAAAGAAAAAGATTTTCTGATCATCCAGATACTGAAAATTATCAAAGCCCTCCATAATCAAGTTTTTCTCATTATCTAGTTTTACCACAACAAAAGAATAATGATTTGGTTAATTTCTGTTTAAAAGGCTAATAATTCAAATACTAATATTTACCTGAGCTTCCCGAAGTTTTGCTGTAGTGCTTTGCTGAAGAGCTTGTTGTTCTTGATGTTGTTGCTTTGTTTTATCTAACTGATGCTGCAATTCTGTAGAATTTGTTACTTTTTCCTTCAACTTAAAAAAAAAATGTAGATTGTCAGCTCATGATTTAAAGGCATAATGCTATCATTCATAAATATCTGGCATTACACTCTGGAAAACAGTATGAAGTTTCCTCAAAAAGTTGAAAATCGAGCTACCCTACAACCCAGCAATTGCACTACTGGGTTTTTCCCAAGATACAAATGTAGTGATCTGAAGGGGTACATGCACCCCCAATGTTTATAGCAGCAATGTCCACAATAGCCAAACTATGGAAAGAGCCTAGATGTCCACTGATGGATGAATGGATGAAGAAGATGTGGTATATATACAATGGATTATTATGCAGCCATCAAAAAATGAAATCTTGCCATTTGCAACAATGTGGATGGAACTAGAGGGTATTATGCTAAGCAAAATAAGTCAGAGAAAGACAATTATCATATGATCTCACTGACATGTGCAATTTGAGAAACAAGGCAGCGGATCATGGGGGAAGAGAGGGAAAAATGAAACGGGACGAAACCAGAGAGGGAGAAACCATGAGAGACCCTTAATCTCAGGAAACAAACTGAGGGCTGCTGGAGTAGAGGGGGGTGGGAGGGATGGGGTGGCTGGGTGATGGACATTGGGGAGGGTATGTGCTATGGTGAGCGCTGTGAATTGTGTAGGACTGATGAGTCACAGATCTGTACTCCTGAAACAAATAATACATTATATATTAATCAAAAAAGAACTATCAAAAAAAAAAGCAGTATCTCATTACTTACAGAATCTTAATCTCATGATATAAAACTATTCCCTAGGAATAGACTCTAATCCTAAGAACACAATTTTTTCCCTAGGTTGGCATTTAGTTTATTAATGCTTTTTTGTATACTAATATAATCAAGGAATTGATTACATACAGATTTTTTTGTAACAATAATCTAAACCACAGTATCAGTATTTGTTTTGTTTTTTTCTACAACATAATTATCGCTTATTGGAAAAGAATGGGTTATCTATCATGTCTAAGATTCTGGATCTAGAAGAAAATCTGTTGATGAAGCTACAGATTTTAACTCTCAGTGTTTGTTCAATTCTAGTAAAAGATATAATTTAATGATAACTTTTACTTTAACCAAAAAATAGTTACCATTATTGGCAACCACACCTTTAATTAGGATAGCATTCAATCTTATGCTTAAATTGCAAAAGTGAAAATCCTTAAATGCAAGCTCCAAGTTTATAAGCACCAAATACAGGTCATTTTTAAAGATCCTCACCAACTGTGTTCATGCTTCACTGTTTTATTGGGAAGTTGCCCTTCCTGGGCAGGAAGACTCCTCCCCTTCAGCAGCCTAATAAAGGTTCACCCCCAGAAACTTTCTTACCTAAGCTAAAGGAGTAGTCTTCTTAACACATTTTAATTGAGAACTTTAGAGAATACAGTCACAACAAAATGACCTAATATATTTAATAATAAGTAGGATGTTTTTATTGGGGAGAAATAAATGTCACAATTTAAAGTAAAAATGTCTAATTAAAGCTCTTAACAATGAAAAAATTGAGGGGCGCCTGGGTGGCTCAGTCGTTAAGCGTCTGCCTTCGGCTCAGGTCATGATCCCGGGGTCCTGGGATCGAGCCCCGCATCGGGCTCCCTGCTCCGCGGGAAGCCTGCTTCTCCCTCTCCCACTCCCCCTGCTTGTGTTCCCTCTCTCACTGTGTCTCTCTCTGTCAAATAAATAAATAAAATCTTTAAAAAAAAAAAAAAATGAAAAAATTGAACCATAATACTACATAAGATGCCCCAAATCTATCTATCAATAAACTTGCTACTATAAACTCACTTGAAATTAGCTTACCTGTTCTTCTAAACGAGAAAGTTTGAGCTGTAGATCAGCCACTTGTTGTTCTTTATCCATCAACTTTTCACTTGAAAGTTGTCTCTGTTCCTTTAGCCTACCATGAGCTTCACCTAGTTGGCGCTCTGTCTCCAGAAGTTTGCTATGTAACTTTAAAAAAGAAAAAGAAAAAGTTTGTATAGTACATATGTAAAAACACACACACACTCATCACCACATCACTACCACCACCTACCTACCTTCTAAACAATGTTTTCTTTTTCACGAAGATAAGTATAAATCTTTTCATATACTTTGGGGGAACCTAAGATTCAGCTGAATTTTAATCACATAAATTATGATGGATCACATAAAACTGTGATTAAACATCACAGTTTTGGGGCTTTTTGTTCTCTTAAACAAACAAAAATACAGCGAACCAAAGGCTCTTGTTTGGACTTGAGTGTTAGAATCACTTGAGGAGCTTAAAATAATAAAATAAAATTTAAAAATCAGGATGCTCAGGGCACCTGGGTGGCTCAGTCGGTTAAGCTTCCGACACAGCGCAGGTCTTGATCTCAGGGTCATGAGTCCAATTAAAAAAAAAAAAAATCAAGACACTCAAGGCACACACTCAGACCTATTCCACAGTGTTTTTTTTTTTAATTTCATAGTGAATCTTGCTTTTTCATAACAAACCACCACAATTAACTTCTTACATTTGGGTATTGAATAGAGCACAAAGCATTCCCAAGTCCTCGAATTGGCACATAATTTCTAAATAAAAGAGAAGAAAGAATATTTTTTAAAAAAATATTAGGTGGCCCTCATTCATTAACTTTAAAAATGCCACCCAGTTAAAACTAAAGGAAAGATTTACTCTGGAACTTAGAACTATCACTTTCTCAAATTCTTTATTTTCTCTAATACTACTAGAAACAGTAGTCAGTTTCTCTTGGGGGAGGGGGAAGTTCCATTAAAAAAAGAAAAAAAGTTTATATTAATTTCAAAAGAAAACTGCATGAGTGCTGGGAATATAGAACAAAAATGAGCTGTATGATATTTCAAAAAGTTGCAAGACATTTGGCAAGGTTTACACACTAAGAATGTTCCTACACACCAGTCTCATAACACATGCAAATGCATGTGCCTCAGCAAAATTAAAAATTAATAACATTCTGCACAATTGATTTCAATCAAAACTGTTCCATGTTAAATGTGAAAATATCAAGAATCTATAGCCTCTGTGTCATATTTATATTTATATGCACTACACTTGCATTTTTCTCCAATAAAAATTCATAGTCGGACAGGATAAAGAAAAGTTGTTTTTTTTTTTTAAGATTTTATTTATTTATTTGTCGGAGAGAGAGAGAGAGAGCACAAGCAGGGGCAGCGGCAGGCAGAGGGAAAAGCAGGCTCCCCAGTGAGCAGGGAGCCCAACACGGGACTCTGTCCCAGGCCCCTGGGATCATGACCTGAGCTGAAGGCAGACGCTTAACTGACTGAGCCACCCAGGCGTCCCAGGATAAAACAAAGTTCTATCAGAAAAGTGGTCACCCACTATTTTCTTATGCTGTGAAACAACCTGTGGCTATTAGAACACACTCTATCCTTAATAAAGAAAACAAAAGTTAATTTTTAAAGTAAAACATGTTCCCGTCTAGCTAAAACAAGAATCAGTACCAGTTAAAGAGAATGCATTTATTTTATCCTTGTCCTTAGCCAGCACTCTGACATCTTTCTTTTTGTTCCTCTTCTTAATATGCAGTGGATTCGCTCTATAAGTCCCAAACCTTCTCCTTCTCACTACAATAATTAGGCACAATCCTGATATGTAAAAGCAAAGGAGGCCTTCAAGGTATACTCATATTTCAAGCACAAAAATTGTGTGATCTCTTACAAACAGGCATCATCCACGTCTAGTTCTTAAACTTGCTGGATAAGAATCTCCGGCTGATGAAGAGGTACAAACTTCAGTTATAAAATAAGTCACAGAGATGAAAAGTACAGCATAGCAAACCCAGTCAATAATACTGTAATAACATGGTAGAGTGACAGACGGTAACCACACTCACCATGATGAGCATTCAGTAATGTATAGAATTGTCAAATTACCATGTTGTACACACACCAAAAAATAAAAGAATCTCCTGACATCATTATTAATGCACAAATAATCAGACTCCTCCCATGTAAGTTTAGATTTAATACATTTGAGCTAAAGCCCAGAAATCCATGTTTTCATAACAAGAATCAGATGATGTTCAGCTTCAGGAAACTTGCCAAAAAGTAACACTTTAAAGATTTTATTTATTTACTCATGAGAGACAGAGAGAGAGAGAGGCAGAGGGAGAAGCAGGCTCCCAAGGAGCAGAGAGCCCGATGCGGAACTCGATCCCAGGACTCTGGGATCATGACCTGAGCCGAAGGCAGACGCTTAACCATCTGAGCCACCCAGGCACCCAAAAAGTAACACTTTAAAAAGCAGCAGTTTTCAAACTCAACTGCATAATACAATTACAGGGAAAACATTTGAATATGCCAGTGCCCGGGACTATGCCAGAGATTATGATTTAATTGGACCAAGGGTGAGGCCTTGACACTGTTAATTTTTTAAATCTCCCCAGGTGATTCTGATGTGTAGACGGAACTGAGAACCAACCAAATTAAAGAGAACTACTACTCTGAAGTGTAGATTTACTAAAAGGATAAGAAAAAGGGATACGTACTATAAATAACTTTGTCATTCATTACTGTACAATTCCTGGTAAATCCCTGATCTTTAATTTAAAAAAATCCCTGATTTTTAATTAAAAAAAAAAAAGAATCCCAAAAGAAGCTGTCCAAGGGTAGGAGCAGGCCAAAATTACTTAAACGGATATCTATACCATTTTAGAGTAAACATGTTAAAGAAAAAGAGATTAAATCAAGAGTAAAAATAGTAAACACTGGAATTATTAATAGAATGGTCTACCCTAAAATCACATTTTGAGATATACATATATATGTATATACGCTATAATAAATTCAGTTTGTACACCTATAGACATAATTCTTTACTCATTACACTCCTAACAATATTTACTAAGTGCCAGGCCCTATTCTAAATGCAAATATTAACTAATTTAATCCTTATATATATAGCCTTATGAAGAAGATTCCATTATTATCCATATTAGAGATGAGCAAACAGGCCCAAGTTAAATACTGTGCTTGAGATCACACAGCTGGTAAGCCACAGAACTGGAACTCAGGCAGCTGGTTTCTAAATCCACTATGCTGGGGACCTGGGTGGCTCAATCAGTTAAGCGTCTGCCTTGGGCTCAGGTCATGATCCAGGGATCCTGGGATCAAGCCTGGGATCGAGTGCTAAGTCGGGCTCCTTGCTCAACAGGGAGTCTGCTTCTGCCTCTCCCTCTGCCCCTCCCCACCACCCCTCACCCCCCGCTCATGTTCTCTTTCTCTCTCTCCCTCACAAATAAATAAAATCTTTAAATAAATAAATCCACTGTGCTATTCAAGATGCATGTTAGATAATTTTTAAAAATTAAAATGATGACATCTAATCTTTTAATTATGTAATATCATTATCTGCACATCTGTGGCTATTTTAGAACTGCTCATAAACACAAATATGAAGACTATATGCTGCTTTGTCTTCAAGTCCTCTGTTCACAGCTGCCACTATCTACTTCTGTCACTCCCAAAACGGGTGCTAAGGATACAGAGCAAAACGAAACCAGTTCATGCCTACACTCTTTAAGGATATAAAAAATATTTTAAAAAGTTTAAGGTGAGATTCACTTCCATCCTTCCAATACATATTTGCTGAAAGGGATGGCTGGGTGGCTCAGTCAATTAAGCTTCTGCCTTCGGCTCAGGTCATGATCCCAGGGTCCTGGGATCGAGCCCCGCATCAGGCTCCCTGCTCAGTGGGAAGCCTGCTTCTCCCTCT